TTGTTGACCGTTTTTCAAAAAAAAGAGATGAAATAGAGGGAAGAGGAAATTTCTCAAAAAGTTTTCACAAGGGCCAACCAATGACTCCAGGTAATGAAAAAAGAAGATTCCATGGAACTAAGATTCAATGTTCTTTAGGCATAAATGGTAATACTAATATTTGTACCTCATCAACTTGTGCAGTTTGTAGAATTATTGAAACATCATTCATATTACCGGTACATTCAAATAAATCGCATTTTCTTCGTTTTGGACCTGGAATTTATTTTTCAAGTGTTTCCTCTAAAAGCAATGATTACACAAATGTATTAAATGGAAATAAATACATGTTTTTGGCCAATGTTCTAGTAGGTAAAGGTGAAAAATATGCCAACAATAATCAAAATATAACTTCACCAAACCCAGGTTACGACTCTGTACTAGGTGAAACAGGATTTGCCCTCAATCATGATGAACTAATTGTTTATAATATTGATCAAGCAAAACCATCTTATTTAATAATTTACAGTTAATCAGTATTTAAATTGCAAATATAATAAAAAAAATATATTCAGGTTAATATTTATTATAATATATTATAATCATACTATTTTTAATATTAAAACTTTTTAATAATTTTTTAAAAATTTGTAATAATTGTATAAAAATGATTATAAAATTTTATTTTGAAATTAATAATTTATTTAATCTAATTTATAAATAAATACACCAATTGGTAAAACTTGTTTTTCATTATATACAACATATTCATCATAATTTAAATCACATCCAGCTTGACCATGAACTGAATGATATCCATATGGAAGGGAAAATTGTTGATTGGTTTGTAACAATCCAAAAGAGTTACCAAGATTTACTTTTGAAACAATAGTACAACGATAATTGTAGTTTTGATTATTGTTATAATCATTGGCTTTTGATGAATTGGGTGCAAGATAGATACCTCTTCCAAATCTTAAAAAAGATGTATTTGTACCGCTAAATGAAATTTTAAAACCAGATTTTTTTATTCCACATGCACTGCATCTTCCACAAGTTATAGTTGAACATGTATTTGGAGTACCATGAAATAATATCTTTTCATTTTTTGGTATAAATAAAGAATCATAATTTTGTTTGTGTTTTTGAATATAATAATCACTGAATTGGATATATTGAATTGAAGTTGGTCTACCACAATCATATTTTGTCCAACTTGAAAGAAATAAATGTTCGTATGGATTTTGGTTTCCAAATGAATTAAAAGAATATTGATTGTTTAATGATTGAGAAAATACTAATTGTTGAAATGTTGGAAACTGATATTCTTGTTGTATACTCTCTTCATTTTGAATTTTTGGGCGATACATATTTGTAATATAATTAAATAAATAATATAAAAACAATTTTTTTTATTTTTATTTGGTGATTTATGGAAAAAATTAATTTTTGTTTTAATAGTTTTTTCAAGTGACTTAAAAATAATTTATATAGAAATAAAAAACACACACTCACTATTTTTTGCACACCCACTAACAAATAATAATACAAATTAAAAATTTTTATATATTTATTATATTATTTGAAAAGGTTAATAATAGTATTAAAAAAAAACCTTAAAAATTGGGAAATATCAATCTAAAAAAATCAATAAATATTTTTTTGAGACCAATTAAAAACTATTATTAGACTTTAAAAAATATTAAAAAATTTATTGTGGACTCTTTCATCTTTTTAAGAACATCATTTACAACAATATAAATTTGACCATTCCATTCTTTGAGAAGACATGACTCACTAGTAGAGATTTTTTAAAATCATCAAAAGGCATTGTAAAGTTAGTGTTGATGCAATCTAGTTATTTTTTTGGGTCTATTTATAGAGATGTTATAAAAAAAATAAAAGTTAAAAATAACATCATTTTGATTTGAGGTTATATATATGAAAAATTTTAGTATTACTTATTTTAATTTTTTTTATTTTTTATTTCAAAAAATTAAAAGTTTATTTATTAAAAATATTTTATTTGGAATACTTTGATTTTCTCTCTCATGGAATGTATTAAAGTACTTTTATTTGTCAACTATAGTTGTTCATAATCTCTAAAAGTATGACCTTTTTTACAAAAACTTGATGGTATTTTTCATCTGGGATTCGAATTCGTGATAATATCCACAGGTTTGTCTTAACATTTCATCTTTCAATTATAAAAAATAAGAGTTATAAAAAAATTATTATATTTTTTTTTCTAATAAGTTACTTTAAATATTAATGAAGGACGTTATAAAATATATATATTATTAAATATATATATTTTATTTTAATTTTTAACAAATAATGTTTATTTTAAGAAAAAAAAAATTAAAAAAAAAAAAAAAATTAATTTTGAATTTTTTGAATTTTTTTTATTTTAAATTTATCATCATTTATTGAAAGTACTGTAATAATAATAACAACATATAATAAAAGTAATAATCATAATAATAGTTATGTTTAATACTTTTTTCAAATGGATAAATAAATACATATTAAGCGAAATACAAAGATACATCAGTTAAGGTAAATAATTACACATGCTATTTCTAAAATTGTTTTGTATATAATGTTATACTTAATTGTATACAACTACTTAATTACTACACATAAAAGTACCATCACCAATTACAATTTATACCAAAAAGTAACATGGTACTGTCATTCGTTTTATATTCTATAATCAAACTATAATAATAGTTGGATATTGGATGTAAAATTAAATCATGTTCGATACTGTGGAAAAATTGGATTCTATTCAATAATCAAGTATGTACTACTATTATATTAATACATATATATAAAGTGATTCGATTGTTAATTTAAATGTTAACTATGAAACAGGTTTAAAGAATATAAGATTTAAAAGTATCAATAGAGAATCAAATAAAATGTTTATTATACACTAGACAACAAATTGCTAAATAAATTAAAGTAACATTCATATATTCTGATAATAGAGCAAATGAAAAGAAGGATACAGTTTTTTGGACATACAATGCAACTCAAACAGTTTGAATTTACCAGTTTTAATGTTCTTTGGACCATTAGTTTCAGATTTAAAGATATTAAAATCATTAAAAGAAAATAGAATATTGGTATACATTAGAAATTATAGATAGCTCAAAAGGTTTTAAACAATGATATTTTTTAGTTTGTGGTACAATTTATATTTATATAAATTGGTACCAAAAGAAAAATTACAACAGATCCAATTTTAAACCAATTATAGAATTTAAACATATAAGATCATTAAATTATGGAAGAAATTAAATTAAAAGTAAGTGGTAATAACATTTAGACTTATTGATTATTGTTATAAAGTAAACATATGCATTAACTCTTTAAATTATTAATTATAATACAGGCAGATGAATATATATTAATAAAATCTAGTGAATAAAAATTATCCTTATTCTCAGTTTTTACCCATTATCGTTAGCTTGTTCATTTAAAAAAAAATTTTAAAAATTATCTCTTTTTTTAAAAAAAATTATCTCTTTTTTTAAAAAAAATTATTCATTTTTATCGATTTTTAAAATTTGCAAATAGAAGTAAAATAACAGCACAAACACACCCATCACAATTTTTCTCTTTTCCGCCTTTCTTTTAATTTTTTTTTAAATTTTTTTTTAATTTTTTTAAACATTTTATTTTTTTTTTTTTAATTTTTTTTTAATTATAATCCGCGCTTTTATTTAAAAATTTTTTTCTTTTTTAAATTTTGAATTTTATTAATTATAATATTTTTATTTTTCTTTCAAAAACCTTCACAAAACCATATTGATACTAACACTAATATTGTGGTGCTATTTTTAACTTGTGTTGATGCCTATATTCACACCTCTTTAATAATAAAATGACAATATTATATTTCAAAAAAAAAAAAAAAACTATAAAAATAAATCATATTTTTATTTAAAAAAAACATTATAATACCAATCATTGTTGTTTTTATTTTTTCGTACATCACCATTAATCTAAAAATATAATATAAAATTATAATCATTTTAAATACTAAAAGCGAATATAATATTATTTTCATTTTATTAATAAAAACCTCAACCAATACAAAACCAAAACAAAAGGTCGAATTATTGTTTTTTTTTGTTTTTTTTTCCAAAAAAACAATAATCAACATTAAATTATAATATACGTATTCATAATTATATTTATTTTTAATATGTATGTATTTATTTTAGTTAAACTAAAACCTCAACAAATCCAAATCAAAAAAAAAAGGTAGAATTTTTTTTTTACAATTATTTTTTTTAAAAACATGTTATTCTACACATTTTCTAAATTAGCTCTATAAATAGACCCAAAAAATAACTAGATTGCATAAACACTAGGTTTTATAATGCTTTTTAATCTTTCGTTTTTCTTTTTTTTTTTTTTATAAGCAAAGTTTTTTTTTTTTTTTTTTTCATTCTAGTTAATTAAAATAAAAAAGTTTCTTAAACCTTCTAATGTTACCCATAAAAGACTTCGTCTAAAAGACTCTACCATTGAATCGGGGAATCTTCTCAAAGAATGGAATCGTCAAATTCAAGATGTTGTATATGATATTCTCAATAAAAAAAAGGATGGAAGAGTTCACAACAAGCGTGATAATAATAATAATCATTTTTTCTCACAATAATAAAAACCTTTGTATATTTTCAATTTTATTTTAACAATTTTTTTTTTTTTTTTTACAAAAATATTTTATAATTTTATAAATTATTATCCTTTTTTTATCTTTTTTTTTTTTTTTTTTATCCACTTTTATCCTTTTTTTTTAAATCTTCCAAGTGATACAAAAAAGGATAACGATAAAGATAATTTTCAATCACTAATAAAATCTAGAGATATAAACTTTTTTTAGAGATGTAAATTTAATTATTTTACTATACAGAAAATAAAAAAGAACAACTACACATGTTTGATTTAGTAGAATGTGCAGACTATTTAGATAATATAGAAGCATTGGAGTATTTCCTATCAATGAATGTACCAACATTTTTACCAAACTACACAATTAATAAAAAAGTTTTCAATATCATCAATTGAATCAGTAGGATTACTATTAAAATATCGAGTAAATTTCATAGAACCTTATAGTATCGATATCAATAATAACAATAACAATAATAACACAACAGTAGCTTCGTCATCATCATTCAGTTTAAACAATAGCAATAATAATAATTATACAACAACAGTAGTACTAGCATTCAGTTTAAAAAATAATTATAGTAACAATAATACAACAATAGCAGCACCGGATCCTACAACACCAGAATCTACAACATTCAGTTTAAAAAATAGTAACTATAATTTAAAAAGTAGTATTAGTGAATATAGCAATCTAAATAATAATAGTATCAGTTTAGCCCGAAGCGCAAGTTGTAGTAGTATAAGCAGTTGTAATAGTAATGATATCAATGGGAGTAGCGGTAGTAGCGGTTGCAGCAATAAAAACAATAATAGCTTTTTAATTAATAAAAATAATAAAAACTTTTTAGTTTTCGAATTTTACAAAAACATAAACATTTCATATAAATTTTATTTTATTTAATTTGATCTTAGTACCTTACACAGTAATGATAACCTGCTTGAGTACTATCACTGAATTGACCTTGACCAATCATACCAATAGGGGTTGGATTACTGGTACCTTTAACTTTTTTTTTTTTTTTTTTTTTTAAAGTGAAGATGATTCTTTATGGTGTATTAAGTCATCAGTTTATTGTGTTTGGTATGTGTTTAATGCTTATATGAGTTTTACCACTCTGCATACAAGTTGGGCACGGTAACGTCAATTCGTGTGGGATTCGGAAAACTTGCTGAGACTGGGATTCGAACCCGGAGCGGTAACTTGTAGGAAATTTGTTTCGACCACTTGGCTATCATTGCTCCCCCCCTTTAACTTGACAAGCAAAAGTATTACCAGTATTAAGGACCATATATTAACATATAAGACCACTTAATTCCGAACCAAAAAATCACTTGGAAGAAATAGTATAAAATTATAGTGGGGAAATCCGAGAATCGAACTCAGGACGCTACCACCCAAAGGTAGCATTATACCACTTAACTAATTTCCCAATAATATTCAGAACTTTTTTGGGCACCTTTTTTTTGATTAACATTTCAGGTATATCAAGGTATTCATCTGCGTAGCATGGGAAAGAGAAGTCATAAAGTATTAACAGAATATATTGTTTTTATATTTAATAATTATTATATTTAAGATTTCACCTTATGTTTAAATATTAAAAAAAAGAAAAAGTGTTATATAACGTGTACTTGTTTCTATTTCATAATAGGTAAATAAACTATTGACATAACCACCTTTAGAATAAAAAAACAAAATTATAAAATATATTTTAATAAAAATTATTATACAAAACTTTATTTTAATTTAATTAATTTTATTTTTTTATTTTCTCTAATAATTGAGTTATTTTTTAATTAAAGATCTAATGTTGAAATATAAAAATTTAGATTTGTTATTTATTTTAATGAAATATTTTGATTGGTTCTATTACGTTGGTGTAGACAGTTGAATGGTAGATGGATAATTTGAGTTTGAATAAACCAATTTGAAAACCATAATTAAAAAGATTAAACAAAAACCCCAATGTTTAATTTGTGACATAAAATGAGCTGATACTGAAAAAGAAACAAGAAAACCCCCAAAGTTTGATTGTGACTTAAAATGAGCTGATACCAAAAAAGAAAAAAACCCCAATGTTTAATTAATGACTTAAAACTTGTTGACTTTGAAAAGGAAAGAATAAACAGAAACCCTAATATTTGATATGTGTGTTATAATATGTTGATGCCGAAAAAGAAAAGAAAAACCCCAATGTTAAATTTATGACTTAAAACTTGTTGACTTTGAAAAGGAAAGAATAAACAGAAACCTTAATATTTGATATGTGAATTATAATATGCTGATGCCGAAAAAGAAAAGAAAAAGCCCAGTGTTTGATCGTGACTTAAAATGAGCAGATATCAGAAAAGAAAAAAACAAGAACCCTATTGTATAATTTGTGACAAAAGAAAAACCCCAGTGTTTGATCATGATTTAAAATGAGCAGATACCGAAAAAGAAAAGCAAGAACCCTATTGTATAGTTTTCGACTTGAAACGAGTTGACTTTGAATAAGAGTAAACAAAAACCCAATATGTTGATACTGAAGAAAAAGTTGGAACTTAACTTAAAAAAATTAAAATTAAATATTAGTTTTTTTTATTTTTAAAAATAAAAAATAATTATGTTAATATTACAGTGCCCGGATTATATATGTAGACCCCCCAACTTTTATTAAATCATTTATAAAATAAGATTTACCAATAATAGTTTTTATATGAAGAACCTTACCGCCAATAATTATTAATTTTTAGAAATAAATGGTAAGGAGTGGGCGTGGGTAAAATAAAAAAATAATAAAAAAAAATTTCTATATTTTTTACCACATTTTTATTTTTAAAATTTTTATATTTATTTTATCATTAATTTAATAAGTAAGAGTAAATATAAGTTTAAAAATAGAATATAGTAAATAAACAAAATGAGGTTAAGTGATGAAGTTCGATACTCAATATTATCATATAAAAACAGAGGTCACAAGTCGAACTCAAAAATTGCAAAAAAATTAGAGTGCATAAATCAAAAGTAGCAAAAACATTAGAAAAGGTAGAACAAACAGGCACAATCAATGACCGTAAACGTCATGGGAGAAAATAAAGTTTGACGAACGTGATGAACGTGATTTATGTTTCAATTTTTAAAATAGTAAATTTACTATATAAAATAAAGTATAATTTGGTATGAACAAAATGGATTTGGAACAACATCATACAAGTCAGTAAGAATTATATTAAAGAGATATAACATAATATATAAAAAGAAAGTTAAGAATCCTTCATTGATTAGACATAATAGCAAAAAAAGATTTTTTTTAAAGTTGTGCATATAAATTTTTTTGTGGAATAATGAGAAAATTATATGTTTGTGGATGAAGGAAAGTTCCAATAATTTGATAATAACCATGGTAGGTCTTCTTGGGCTTATGACACTAATGTTTTACTAGAATCACGTATCAAGACAAATGTTAGAAAGGGTGGGGTTAATTAAATATTTTTGGGAAATTTTCTTTATTATGGTCCAATTTATCTATTCATTTATCAAATGGATTTTGAACTAAACAATATCTTGATATTATAAAAAACGATACACAAATAAATTTAGAATAATATGCAGATATAAATAAAGTGCCTAAGAGGTTGCCAATCATTTGTCATGACAACTGTAGTTCGCATTCAGCAAAGATAGTGAAACAATATTTAGAAGAAAATAATATACAAGTTTATCCATTACCACCCTACAGTCTAGATATTAATATAATTGAAAATCTTTGGTCAATTGTTAAAGAAAGGGTATCAAAAAAGATGTTTCGTGACCCATCACAAGACCAAGTTCAGGTATGTCAAGATGCATATCATTCAATAGAAAAATCAATTATAAAATCATTATATGAATCACTCCCTGACCGAATAGATGCCATATTAAAAGCACATATAGGGTATACTAAATATTAAATAATAATAATCATTTATATATAATTGTAAAAAAAAACAAATAAAAAACAAATAAAATTTTTGAAATTGAAAAAACGGATTAAATATTTAGACCCTATTTTTTTTTTTTTTTTATTTTAATTTTTAGCAAATAAGCCAATATCTTGTAATATGATTTATTTTAGAGGTCATTATATAAATATTAAATATGATCTATTAATTCAATAATTATCATTTCCATTTTAAAAAAGTTGGGGGGGTCTAAATATATAATCCGGGCACTGTAACATTATAGTTACCTTAAGAGTTGTTTTGATATATGACCTTGGAAAATTTAGAACTTTATTCTGTAAAGTTGAACTAATGAGATACATGACTTCTTAATACACATGATGATGAAGATGTGATTTGTTTCTTGGATGATGAAGTTGACTTTCTATAATTTAATCGATTGAATAATTGAAACATTGAATGGAGCGATTTTATTAATAATTTGGTCTTCATCTATTTCATAAAAAGAAACATTGAATGAATTATCAAAACTATCAAATTAATCGCCTTCAAGTTCAATATCTTAAAGATCATCTTCATTTTAATCTTCATCTTCATTACCTTAACGTTCTTCATTAGCTACTTTCTGCATAAATTATTAATGAAATTAATTAATATATATTTATTAAGTATAAATTAGAATTAGTAAATTACTTACTATGATGTCATAAAACTCGTTTCTACAATTTGGGCAGGTATTAATACGTTCTGACCATTTTACAATGCATTGGTAGCAAAATTTATGATGGCAATCAATTGTAGCCATTTCATTTATATTTATAATGTTAAGACAAATTGTGCATTTGTCATCACTTTCTGAACGATCACTTTCCAAATTATCTCTTTCTAATTGTTCTCTTTGTAATTGTTCTCTTTGTAATTGTTCTCTTTCTTCTATATCCCTTTGGATTCTTTCTTCTCTTTGTCTTTCTCTCTCTTCTCTTATTCTTTCTTCTCTTTGTCTTTCTTCTCTTGCTCTTTCTCTTTCCTCTCTTTCTCTTATTTTTACTGCTCTTTCTCTATCTATTTGAACTCTTTGTAATCTTGATCTTTCTGATAGTTCTATTTGTTCTCTTTCTAATTGGATTCTTTCTAATCTTTTTCTTTCATATCCTTCTTTTATTTGTCTTTCAATCTCTAAACTTTGGTTTCTTTCTCTTTCTTCCCTTTCTCTATATTCTCTTTGTATTTTTTCGATTAATTTAAGTCTTTCCATTTTTTCTTTTTCTTCTCTTTCTCTTTCTTTTTTTAAAATTTCCATTTCTACAAATTGCTTAACTATATTTAAACTCTCTTCATCTTCGAGTTTATGTTTTTTGGAAATTTGTCTATCACCATTATTTAATTCATTATCTTGTTCCAATGGTCTCTTCTTCATTGGATGATTGCCAGTTGATGTTTGTTCCCATGCAGAAATAGTACTTGGTACTGGCTTTCTAAATGTTTTTCTTTTTGATAATGATGAACCTGCAGAGTTGTTACTTGACTCAGATTCAAATGGATAGACAGATGCAATTGTAGATGGAGTGGATGGAATTGGTGGTGGATTTGGGGTATTAATTAATTGAGAAGAAATTGAGTTGAAAAATTGAGATTCTGGTTGATGGTGTGATGGGGCACAAGTGGAATCAGATTGCTGTGGTGGGGCACAAATGGAATCTAAATGCTGTGGTGGGGAACAAGTGGAAACAAATTGTTGTGGTGGGGCACAAGTGGAATCTAATTGCTGTGGTGGGGCACAAGTGGAGTCAAATTGGTCTGGTGGGGCACAAGTGGAAACAAATTGCTGTGGTGGGGCACAAATGGAATCAAATTGCTGTGGTGGGGCACAAGTGGAGTCAAATTGGTCTGGTGGGGCACAAGTGGAATCAGATTGCTGTGGGTTTTAGTGAATATGAATTTGATCAACTAAATTGTTGTTGATTTTGTTATAATGTTGTGTATTGGTTATATTGCTATTATTATTGCAAATATTATTGTTATTACTATTGTTTTTGTTATTGATTGCAAAATATTTATTTATTAAATAAACTGAAAAAATAATAGCCAATAATATATAAAAAACAATCATTAATTGATTCATTTTTAAATGGTAATTAATAAATATTATTATTGAATGATTATTATAAAAAAATAAAATTATATGATTTTTTTGTATGTATATGATTATTTGTGTGTGATTAAAATAATAAAGAAAAAAAAAAAATCCTTTATAAATACAATAAAAAAAATGTAAATTAAAAAAAAAATAAAAAAAAAAAAAATAATTGAAATACTAAAAAAGAAAAAAGAAAATTAAAAAAAAATTAAAAAAATTAAAATTTCATGCTTTGCCACAAAAAGAAATGAAATCTAAAAAATTAAACAGTGGGTTAAAAAGTGTGTGGTTGATTATTATAATAAAAAAAATTATTTAATAGCAGTTTTTAAATTATATGAAAAGATTCCTTACTACTATTAAAAATTAAATTATTGTTTTTTTTAATTTTTTTATAATATTTTTTTCTTTCATCACCAAAATATAATAATAAAGAAATTGTAACAATGAATATGCTAAAAGAGATTAATAATTTTTCTAACAGATTATTGATAAAACTATTTTATCAAATTATTTATTTATAAATTATAAAAATTTTATGAAATCGAAAGTTTGAACATCGTTGGTATTGGTAATGGATTTGAATGAAATAACTAAATTACCGTTTTCGAATGACCATAACCAATACCCGTTTTGTGTGGCATTGTGTTTAATAACAATAGTACGATTTGAGGTGGCTTCTTGAACAGCTTCTAATACCATTTCATCAGCACAAAGTTTAGCAAGATTGGCTGTAACTTTTTCGACAACACCTGCAAAAATATGACCAAAACTATTTTTTAAATCGGCAGAAACATGTGGGTAAACGGTTTCTAATGATGCTTGGTCGATGGTCCAATCGGCATCGGATTTCATTGCTTTTTTAACAGCTACTAAATTAGCATCCATTTTAGCATGATTTTCTTTAATATTTAAAAGGGTCATTAAAGAGTAGGTGCCTTGTGAAGGAAGAAGAGTTTCTAGTTTAGCGGTGAATACATCATTAGTGTTACAATGGCATTTTGGTTATTTTATTATTATTATTTATAATTGATTTAAGGTGTTTTGTATTTATATTTATTTTACTAAAAACTAAGAACCACCCCTAAATACAAATACTAAAATAAATAATTTGTTTACCTATTATTATTCCTTTTTTTTTAGATTTTTTTTTTTAGATTTTTTTTTTTACTTGATCATTTTACTTTAAAAATCTTTGAAAATTTTTTAAAAAAAAGTTATAAAATGATTTTAATTTAATTTTTTTTATTTTTATTAAAATTTTTAAAAATATCAATTTTTTTTTTTATTTTTTTATTTTTTTTACCCATAGCATACAAAATATAAAAAAAAGAAAATTTTTTGAATGTAATACAGATACAGATAATGAAAATAATAGAATAAATAGATATAATAAAAATAGATAATGATAAATTGTTTTTTTCAATATGGAGGAACAGGTGTCTTTTAAATGAAATACAAAGACATCACAGGTTATATAATGAAAATAGAGAGAGATTGATGAATCAATGGATCAGCTTTTATATCATTCACATAGAAGATTTGCAACAAAAATTAGAATTAATATTGATGAACCATTAGAACCACCATATGGCGAAGCTATACCTTATGGAATCACAGAATTAGAATTTACAGGTGATTTCAATCAACCAATTCGAGCAGGTGATATTGGAGGTGGATATGGAACATTGTCATTGTACGCTTATGATAAATATAAGAATGCAAAGTTTATCCCAGAGTGACTTTTCACCTTCAATGATTCAAGTTTTAGATAAATTCATTAATGAGTTAGAAATCAGTAACATTGAAAGCAAAGTAATGGATGGTCAAAATTTAGAACAAATCAAAGATTCATCATTAGACTATACATTCCCAGCCTTTGGTCTAATTTATTTCCCAGATATACTTCAAGGTATGAAAGAGATGTTTCGTGTTTTAAAACCGGGTGGTAAAACGGGTATTGCTTCATGGTGTACAGATGCATTTTTACCAGCTGCATTCCAACAAACAATGAATGCACTTTTTGGCAATAGTGTTTCAAATCGAACAGTTCTTTTGATAAATTAAAAGAAGCTGGCTTTGTCAATATAGAGATCAATAGGGTGCAGCATCCAATGGAGGTTCAAGAGATTTCAGATTTGCTCAAACACACCTCAATCAATCCAGTTTATCAAGATTGTATCAATGCTCTTCCAGAAGATAAAAAGCTAATTTTTAATGAAACATTTATGAATGTCTCAAATAATACACCTTCTATAAAATATAAAAAATTATTTATAAAAAATTTTAAATTTTATATTTATTATTTTATTAAAAAATTTTATGGTGTTTCAGTTTCCTAATACTGAAAATATTTTCGATTGGTCTGATAGAGTTGAAAATAGATTCTTATACTTTTTCTAATTAAATTATAACCTAGTAATAACCTGAGGAAATGGTAAACAATTGATGTTTTGATGCTTTGGAAGTTGATCATGATTGTTGGACAGTAGGTTTTGCTTTCAATACCAAACTTAAAATAGGGATTACTAAATATTGTCTTCATCTAATATTATTCGATATTCTACCATATTTACTTGGCCAGAGAAAATTTGATAGATATAAATATTTGATTAGATTGAAAAATTTCAATATAGTTGACTTGATTTATTTTAAGTTGGTTTAAATAAAGCTTTTATTATTGAAACTATTTTAGTTATATGATGAATCTAATAACTGTATGATTATTATCATTACTAATATTATTGTGTGTTTTGATTCTATAATCTGTTTGAATGAACTTATCTAATGTATCTTGAAATATTACCGATATTTAATGTTTTTAAATGTAGTAGTATATAATTTGGTGATTTAAATTCCCTCTTTAATTAAATTTCTCTTTATTTAAATTTCTATATGATGATGGTGGTGGAAGTGTTATATTACCATTATTAATTAAAAAGCTATTACTGTTTTTATTGTTGCAACCACTACTACTGCTACTCCCATTGATATCATTACTATTACAACTGCTTATACTACTACAACTTGCGCTTCGGGCTAAACTGATACTATTATTATTTAGATTGCTATATTCACTAATACTACTTTTTAAATTATAGTTACTATTACTATTTTTTAAACTGAATATTGTAGGTTCTGGTGCTGCTGTTGTTGTATTGTTATTACTATTACTATAACTATTTTTTAAACTGAATGCTAATGTTACTGTTGTTGTATAATTATTACTATTACTATTGTTTAAACTGAATGATGATTATGAAGCTGCTGTTATGTTATTATTGTTAATGTTATTATTGATATTATATGGTTCTATGATATTTACTCGATATTTTTAATAGTAATTATAATGATTTTATCGATGATATTGAAAAACTTTTTTTTATTAATTGTGTAGTTTGGTAAAAATGTTGGTACAGTCATTGATAGGAAATACTCCAATGCTTCTGTATTATCTAAAGAGTATGCATATTCTACTAATACAAACATGTGTATCTGTTCTTTTTTCTTTTCTGTATAGTAAAATTAATTTTTTTAATTTTTTTTTAATTTTTTTTCTAAAAATAATTAAAATCTATAATCATTTTTTTTTTCCATTTTGAAAAAAAAAAATTAATCATTTCTATTATTATATGTTGCTATTATTATTACTAATATATTGTGTTTTGAATCTATTATCTATTATTTTTTTTTTTTTTTTTTTTTTTTTTTATGTGGATCATTTACTCTAATAAAATCTTTACCGTTGGCAATTATTAAACTAATTTATCTTGACTAACAGATACCTATAATATCTTGGGTTCATTTATGAAATATGCGGGAAATCTTTAAACCATTTGGAACTCTTTTAAGTTGATGAATTTTTAAACCTTCTTGAAAAAACTGTAAATTTACGACTAAAACTATTCTTTACCAATCAAAAAACGGGATTGAACGATCTAATTGGAACTCTTGTTACAACTTCGGATTTATACTTTTTGGAACCTCCTTCAATTTCTATTTTATAAATGTCTTCTTTTTCTGAGTTGATTTTAATTTTAAAAAAAAAAAATTTTAAAAAAAAACCGAAATAAAAAAATAATAAAAATATTAACAACCTCAAGGAAATATTTTAAAAATTATATAAAAATAAAATTATATCATGAAGAGCTATTTTTAATAAAAAGGAAAACGGTAAAAAATAAACATATTATATATAAAAAAAAAATTTATTATATTTTATTATATTTTATTTGAAAATTTAATTATTAGGACATTGAAAATAGTAAAATCATTTGATGTTCCAATATATTTGCCTGGCCAGGGAAAATGTATTTCTTCCATCAAATAGATTGAACTATTATACCCTATTATTATTATTCTTTTTTTTTTTTTTTTTTTTTTTAATAAGATTATTAATTATTATTGATTTAAAGTTCTTTTCTAAAGCTTTAAGGTTGATGATGCTGCTGCTGCTGATGAATGGTGATGATGAATGCTGATGCTGATGATGAGGACCAAGATGAATGCTAATAATGATGAGGACCAAGATGAATTCTGAGGATGATAATGCTGAGGACCAAGACGAATGCCGGTGAGGATGATGATGAGGACCAAGATGAATGCCGGTGAGGATGCTGATGATGATGAGGAACATAATGGAAAAGTTGTAATTTCTGTCGATACATTTCTATTAGAAATGAATGTTGTATAAACATTTGTTCTTTAAATAATTTGTATCGAAACAATTTGTGATGATCTTCAAGAAGTTGACTTTCATGACGTTGTTTTTCCCAGTATTCTTCATTAAAGGAACAATTACGGCAGAATTCCCCTTTGATGGTAGAGCAACGGCAACCCTTGTTTTTCTTGAAAATAAATTTACCAAAATAAAAATAAATAATTAAACCAACAACAATAAATAAAAAAATACCAATGAATAAAATAACAATCATTTTTTTTAAAAAATAAATAATTATTTAAAATAAAATAAATATATATAAGTGTAAAAATAAAAAAATAAATTATATTATTTAATGTAAAAAAAAAAATATAAGCTGGATGTAAAAAAATATGTGTGAGTGATAAATGAAAAAAAATATATGTGAGTGGTAAATGAAAAAAAAAAAAAAAAGAAATTTAAAAAATTTTTAAAATTATAAAAAAAAAAAAAAAATAATAAAAAATATTCAATTGTTTAATATAATGTTTTAATTAAATTATTATAATTTATAATTTATAGCTGTATAGATTTTATTTTATTTTATATTTTTAAATTGAGAATTTTAATTTTATCTATATTTAAATTTGAAAATTTCATTAAATTCTCTCTTAAATGATATCCAGAATACCTATCTAATTTTAAAAAAAAGATTTAAAAAAAAAGATTAATTAATTTCAAATATTATTTCTCTATAGTTTAATACTTTATAAGTTTAATTCTGATGTATAAATAATAATTATCTATTTATAAAAAATATATATTTAAAAAAACCATTGAAAATTTATATTTAATTTACTTTTATTTTAATATTATTATTTATTTTTTTAATTAATTTTTGAACTTTGATTCCACAATTATTATTTTAAATGAATAGTTTTATTACAAACCAATACAATAGTTATTAATAAAAGTATCAATAAAAAATAAAATATGAATTATAATTTTTTTATATTAATTTATTTTTCTTTTTAAATATAAATATTATAACAGGTATATATATAGAACTAAAACTTTATTTATCTTTTAATATGGTTTCATGAAGGTTTTTAGAATAAAAAAATATTATAGAATAAAATTTAAAAATGAAAAAATAATTTAAAATGAAATTAATTAAAAAATAAATTTGTTAAAAAAAGGGGGAAATGAAATGTGTGTTGGTGCTTTTTATTATATATTGTCTATTATTATTAACATATTTGGTAAAATCCATAATCTTTATTTTAATTAAATGTGCGAAAATAGGTTAAATTAATTTATATAATAATCTTTTTTTTTATTAAAATTACTCATTAAATAAATAATCTAAAATTATTTTTAATATTTAAAAAAAAATAAAATATAAAATAAAATTATTTATTCCAATATTCATTATTAAATATAAATATAAAAATGGATTTTGCATTTAATAAAATTTTTATCTATAATTTATTGTACAAGTAATAATAATGATGATT